GGGAACACATTCTACCAGGAGATTTTTCTGTGTGAAACTTTCTCTGGAGTTTTAAAGCAGCAAGCGTTTGAGGGAAATCCTAACCACAAATTACTGGTCAGTACAAGTACATGAGTTTCTTCCCTGGGACCTGTACACTTCAGCAATGTACTTACATGTCTTCTTATTGAAGCGCAGTTAGGTTTTCAACCTATTTTTAAAAACGATAAATGCCTGTAATTAGTAACTAGACAAAGAGAAGCTATTTTGTTACATCTAAAAAAAGAAGAGCTGATGAACTGAAGCTGCCTCCAGAAAACAAGCAAACCTTCTCTTTCCCATATCCATTTCATCATGATGTAATGCCAGGTTAAATATCAACTCAGCTATTCTCTGAGGAAATCGTTGACCCAAAAGCATTAGGAATGTCTCAGACACAGACAATACAAAAAGGAGAGATGGGATAAGAAAACATACCCTGAGATTTATGCCTGCTGCTAGAAACCAGGGTTCAAATCCGAGCTCAGCTATGGAAATCTACTGGATGACCTTGGGCAAATCAACTCTCCCATTCTCGGAGAAAAATAATGGCAACTCTCCCCCCCCCCCATGAATTTGGTCAAGAATTGCAGTGATTTAGGGTTACTGTAAACTGAGAATAACAAACACATGTCCAATATGTATTTGTTTATTACAGTTGTGTATATAACACCTTTCAGGATTCAAATTCCTCCTAGATATGGATAACACAACGATAATATGGATCTAATACAGTGGCTCTCAACTTGTGGGTCCCCAGATGTTTTGGCCATCAACATCCAGAAATCCTAACTGCTAGTAAACTGGCTGGGATTTCTGTAAATTGTAGGCCAAAACACCTGGTTACCCACAGGTTGAGAATGACTGATCGAATACCATAAACAATACTGAAATACAATCAGTCCTTCATATCCATAGATTCTGCATCTATCCACAACTTGCAAATACTTCTCTCCAAAAATCCAAAAAAGCAAACCTTGATTTTGCTGTTTTATATAAGGGACACCATTTAACAATGACAATGTATATCATGGGACTTGAGCATCTGCAGATGTTGGTATCCATGGGGAGTCCTGGAACCAAACCCCAAATGGATACCAAGAGCTCAAGGAGTGCATTGCAATTGTTTCCATAGGGAAGCCCATGGTGAAAGGCTATCTGGGAGAAAGGAGGATAATGGATCAAGAACAGGTTCCTATGATGGTCTTTCATGCCTTCCTCTTTCTTCTGATCAACTCTCAAATGGAGACTCAGGTGGCTCAGGGAAGCACAAGTGGAAATCAAATACAACTCTCTCAAATTCTGTCTTTTACCATTTGTAATGTTAAACAGAGCTTGAATTAACAATTGAGGGGAGATAGAGATCTGAGGGAATTTTTAAAATAAAAATTCAGCTTTTTATGTGCTGGATGCGCATTTCTGTAGTGAAGTAAAATCTTCCAACAATGTCCCATGTCAGCCCTCCATCTTAATCCACTTCAAACAACAGCTGTGAGGATAGTAGAGGAATATGCAGTGGGACTGACAGGAACTCCCTTTGAGCTCCTGCATTAAAAAAAACCCCATTGCTTTGTCCCACATTTTGGCGCTGTCTGGATGTGCCCTCAGGTCATTGTAGCCCATGAACTACTTCTGGAGAACACACAAACACACCTACACTTGCACTTAACTGTTGTTACACTTGATTTCTTAAAATACAAAAAAGAAAGGAAAAATCCAGGGGCAAACCACTAAGCACTGATTGCCCCCCTCTAGTTCATATACAGTATTTCAGATTATTTTAACAATGGTTGTGTGTGTGGATTATATAAAGAGATTAGCTGCCTTGTAATGTTTTGTATTACAGCATTTCACTCAAGACAAAGACAATATCGTGTTCCATCTGTAAATGTTTCAAGAGGGAGAGGAAAAGCCAAAGCAGATCAGCTGCTATTCATTGAAAGGGCAGCCGAAGAGAACATATAAGTTAAATGCAAATAAAAGACCAGGTGAAGTTGTTCAGCCAGTTTCCTGAAGTTCAGCAAAAAAAAAAAAAAGATACTGAATTCAGGCAATTTTTCAGGCTTAAGAAAGTGATCCAAGCCTTAAGAAAGGGAGCCCAGTTAAATCAAAGGGCTTGTTCACAGGATAAAATATTAGGCTTGGGCCTATGCGTCCCATCACACCAACACTATTATTCCACTAACTGCAATGACAACATCCTATGGAATTTCAAATCTGCAGTTTAGGAAGAACATTTACAATTCTCAGTCAGAGAATTAGGTCACACTAAACTGCTGAATTGTCATTTTGAAGGTAATAGTCTCATTTTGCTCCCCCCTCCTCATAGCTACGCTTCTGCCCAACACTCATCCAAGTTAAGGCATCCACTAACTAAACCAGCTAGGTTCTTTTGGCAGGACATTCCTCAAGACATTCCCCTCATCTTTAGCAGTAAACAATAAGAATACATAAAATAATCAACCATTTCCTGCTCTTTCAATCACACCCCAAAGCTTCTGGCAGGTAAGGCCAGCTCTGCTGGAAGAGGAGGGAAGACCTCTAATAGTTTAATAACAATAAAGTTAGTCCTCATGATCTACAGATTCTGTATCCATGAATTCAACCATCTTTGGCTTGAATGAATATCTATCTATCTATCTATCTATCTATCTAGAAAAAGCAAATCTTGATTCCCCCCCCCCCCATTTTACATAAGAGACACTATTATACTATGCCACTGTATATAATGGGACTTGAGCATCCACATATTTGAATATACATAGGGATCCTGGTATCCAACCCCAGTGGATATCAAGTGCCCACTGTACAACATTTTGTACAGATTCCACTTGTGTTATCTTAAAGGCCCAAAGGAGAGAGAAAACTATGTTCCTTCCTCTAGCACAGCAAAAAAGAAACAGACTCTACTTCCATCAGATCACAAACAGGTTTAGCATTAAAAGATAAAAGAATATGTCAGCACCTTGAAGGGATTTAGATCCCCTTTAATGTGGGGAACTAAGTACATCAGGTATGGTTAGTACCTGGATCGGAGACTGACAATGAATACCTGTAAGCTATATTTCAGACAGAGGCAGCGGCAAAGAATTTTTTAGCATTCCATGACTAAGAAAACCCTGTAAAATTAATGAGATTGCCATAAATGGACAGGTGGCTTCTGTGGATGAGAGGGCTTTGTATATATGCATTCATTCACTTTCTATACTGATAACTCAAGTCCTTGATTGTCTAAGATCAGTACCCTAACCCTTTACTTTAGTTGTTTTGGACTGTTAAGAATTGTGGGAGCTGAAGTCCAAAACACCTGGAGGGCCAAATTTGCCCATGCCTGGTGTAGACCCAGGTAATGCAGTTTCATTGCACTAAGGTAAAGGCTTCACATTGACATTAGCCTTATCACACTAGAAAATAAATCCACTTAAAATCCAGTTTCTGCCTCCTGCAGAATTCTGGGTTTGTAGTTTAGGGAGGAGCCTTTAATAGCCTCACTAAACTACAAACCCCAGAATTCTGCAGGAGGCAGAAACTGGATTTTATGTTGATTTTCCCCCCTAGTGTGATGAAGCGTGTCTGACTCCAGGGGTTGGTGCTCTAAGAATTGTGGGAGATGAAGTCCAAAACACCTGGAGGGCCAAAGTTTGCCCATGCCTGGTGTAGACCCAAGTAATGCAGTTTCATTGCACTAAGGTAAAGGTAAAGGTTTCCCCTTGACTTCTTCTTCTTCTTAGGTGATCCTCGTCTTCTGAGGAGGATTGTCTTCCAGTATTCTTGTGGGTCTGTATGTGGCTGTGGAGCCCTATTCTTGCTCTGCATCTTCTTCTGCAGTGAGGGCATTGGTTTCCAGGTGGAAGACGGTCTCGGTTGGGGTTGGCTTGACGCGCCTTCCTCTTGGCATGTTTCCCCCTTTCGCCCTCCATTCGTGCCTCTTCAAATTCTGCAGCACTGCTGGTCACAGCTGACTGCCAGCTGGAGCGGTCAAGGACCAGGGCTTCCCAGTTCTCAGTGTCTATGCCAGAGTTTTCCCCTTGACATTAGCCTTATCACACTAGAGAATGAATCCTCTTAAAATCCTGTTGCTGCCTCCTGCAGAATTCTGGGGTTTGTAGTTTAGGGAAGAGCCTTTAACAGCCTCATAAAACTACAAATCCCAGATTTTAAGTGGATTTTTTCTTTAGTTTGATGCAGGTCTAGTTGTGTCCGACTCTGGAGTTGGTAGTTTAGGGAGGAGCCTTAAACATCCTCCCTAAGCTACAAATCCCAGAATTCTTCAGAAGGCAGAAACCGGATTTTAAGTGGATTTTTTTCTCTAGTGTGATGCAGGTCTCGTTGTGTCTGACTCTGGTGTTTGTAGTTTAGGGAGGAGTCTTAAATATCCTCCCTAAACTACAAATCCCAGAATTCTTCAGGAGGCAGAAACCGGATTTTAAATTGATTTTTTCTGATGTAGGTCTAGTCGTGTCCGACTCTGGGGTTTGTAGTTTAGGGTGGCGCCTTTAACACCCTCCCTAAACTACAAACCCCAGAATTCTGCAGGAGGCAGAAACCGGATTTCAAGTGGATTTTTTTTTCTGTCCGACACCGGGGGTTTTGGTGCTCAAGGAGTTGTGGGAGCTGAAGTCCAAAACACCTGGAGGGCCAAAGTTTGCCCGTGCCTGGCCTCTACTGACCATATCATGCAGATTCTGTGGCAGTGTAGATCCAGCCTGAGAGCCAAAGCGGCTCAGAGGGAAGCAACAAGCAAGCAACGTTACAAGAGAAGGCAAGCAGGAGGCAGTCATTGAGAGCCGGGCTGGGCGGGCAAGGAGCCGGGCTGGGGAGACGCGCCTTCCCCAAACCTTTCCGGGCCTTGGGGCTGCTGGAGGGAGGGAGGGAGGGAGGGAGGGAGGCGTGACCTAAATTCCGGAGCGAGGGGACAACCCAGCCGAGGCCAAAGCGAAGGCGGCACTCTCGTTGGGCTTCCCTCCGGTGAGCCGGGGCTGGCGGCGTGGGCAGAGCCCGAAGCATGCCCTTGCCTCCGCGGGAGGCTTCCCTGAGGCCGCGCTGGTGGCTGGCGGCGCTGCGGCGGGTGAGCGGCTAAAGCGGGCTCGGGGCTCCCTCTCTAATCTCCAAAGCCGCCTTGAGCCGCCGGCCGGGGCATCGGCCATGGAAGACGGTGCCCTCCCCGACCTCCGCGACGTGGAGCTCAAGCTGGGGCGCAAAGTCCCCGAGAGCCTGGCGCGCTCCTTGCGAGGGGAGAAGGACAAGGAGAAGGAGCCCCACGGCAAGGAGGGCGGCTTCTCCTCCTCCTCCTCCTCCTCCTGCTTCTCCTCCTCCGCCAAAGCCGCCCTTCACTGCAGCTCCTCCACCGCCTTGGAGAGACTCGAGATGAAGCTCTACCTCCTCCGGCAAGAAATGGTGAGCCTCTTCCTTCTCCCGGGGAATCCCTTGGAGCACCGCTCCAACATCACACTCGGGAACGAAGCCACTTTCAATCCGGCTTCTGCCTCCTGCAGAATTCTGGGGTTTGTAGTCTAGGGAGGCTGTTGAAGGATCCTCCCTAAACTACAAACCCCAATTCTGCAGGAGGCAGAATCCGGATTTCAAGTGGATTCATTCTCTAGTGTGCAGCGTTTCTCAACCTGGGGGTCGGGACCCATGGGGGGGAGAGGGTCATGAGGGGGTGTCAGAGGGGTCGCCCAAGACCATCAGAAAACATTGTTTTCTGTTGGTTATGGGGGTTCTTTGGCCCAATTCTGTCGTTAGTGGGATTCAGCAACTACAACTCCCAAATGTCATGGTCTATTTTGCCCAAACTCCACCAATGTTCACATTTGGACATATTGACATCTGTCAGAGTTGATTTGAATGCAATATTCCTGCTTCTTGGCAGGGGGTTGGACTGGATGGCCCATGAGGTCTCTTCCAACTCTTTGATTCTATGATTCTATGATTGTTTGAAAAAGAAGAAGAAGAACTTAAGGTCAATGGCCATCAAACCCTTGCAGTATTTTCTGTTGGTCATGGGAGTTCTGTGTGTCAAATTTGGATCAATTCCATTGTTGGTGGAGTTCAGAATGCTCTTTGATTGTAGGTGAACTATACATCCCAGCAACTACAATTCCCAAATGACCAAATCAATCCCCGCTCAATGCCACCAGTATTCAAATTTGGGCATAACGGGCAATTGTGCTAAATTTGGTCCAGTGAACGAAAATAGATCCTGCATATCAGATATTTACATAATGATTCATAGCAAAATTACAGTTGTGAAGAAGTAGTGAAAATAATTTTATGGTTGGGGGTCACAACAACATGAGGAATACTCATTTCGTATTAAATGAGTCACAGCATAAGGAAGGTTGAGAAACACTGCTGTAGATGCACACCACCACCACACACCCCCCCCCCAACAAAGTTGGTGTCAGACAAGACAGAGAATCACCATTTCTTGCTGAAGGAGGTGAGGTTTCACCAGATTTGACAAGATCTATCTTTGCAAGTTAGCATTGCTATCTTTATTGATATGCAATGGAATCCCTGGAGTTGTAGTTTGGGAAGGCAGCAGCCCACTTTGGCAGAGAGAGACCTTGTCAAACTATACCTGAGGGTGCATCTATCTCCACTGCAGCTAGTTGACACCACTTCCACTGCCATGGCTCGTTGTTGTTGTTGTTGTTGTTGTTAAATTTATGTATATGTTTTGGAATCCTGGGAGCTGTCATGTTGAGGAGGCACTAGCTCTCTTTGGCAGAAAAAGACCTTCACAAAGGCTGCCACCCAGTGCATTATTTTAGTCTACACGTGCAGTTTCCAACTACAGTGTAGATCCAGTTGAAATCTGAAGGTGTATCTACACCTGGTATGGGCAAACTTGGGCCCTCCGGGTGTTTTTGGACTTCAACTCCCACCATTCCTAATAGCCTCAGGCCCCATTTTTCCCCCGCAGCCGCTTAAGCTTACACTTCCTCAAGATAACGCATTCTGTACATGCCAATACTCAAAGACCTGAAATCTCAAACACTTCTGCTCCCAAGCATTTTAGATAAAGGAAAAGTGCATCTATACTATAGAGTTAATGCAGTTTAACACCACTTTAACTGCCAGGGCTCAATGTTATGGAATCCTGTGAGTTGTGGTTTAGGGAGGCACCAGCACTCTTTGGCCAAGAAACACTTTATCACATTCAATCTGCAAGTGCTACACTGTAGAATCAATACAGTTTGACAGCACTTCAAGTGCCATCGCACAATGCTGTGAACTCATGAAGGTTTTAGTTTCACAAGGTCTTTAGTCTTCTCTGCCAAAAAGTGCTTGTGCCTCACCAAACTACAGATCCCAGGGTTCCATAACATTGAGTCATGTTTGTTAAAGTGGTGTTAAACTGCATTAACTCTACAGCAGTGATTCCCAACCTGTGGTCCTTGGACCACCAAGAACTAAAATATGGTCCATGGCCTCACTGTTACTACACCATTGCAACGGGAGCAACTGGTCTCATGACACCCTCTTATAGTGCCGAGGTTTATTATTTATTTATTTACTTATTTATTTATTTAGAACTTTTATATACTGGTCTTCTTGACCTCCGAAGAGGGACTCAGGCCGGTTCACAACAAAAGATTCATAAACAATAGTTTAAAACATCACACTAATACATAAAATACATTAAAATACAATTGTATAATTACATAAGGCCAAGTTGTCAGAATGAAATCGCAATTCATCACCATCCGTCCGTGTGGTCAAGAGTTATTTACTCACTCATCAAATGCTAAATTCCAGAGCCAAGTTTTCACCAGCTTTCTAAAAGGCGGGAGAGAAGAGGCAGTTCTAATCTCCAGTGCGAGAGAGTTCCAGAGCCGAGGGGCCACCACTGAGAAGGCCCTGTCCCTCGTCCCCACCAGACGCAATTGCGAGGGTGGTGGGACCGAGAGCAGGGCCCCTCCAGAAGATCTTAACAACCTTGATGGTTCATAGGGGAGAATCCATTCGGACAAGTAAACTGGGCCGGAGTCGTTTAGGGATTTATAGGTCAACACCAGCACTTTGAATTGTGCTCGGAAGCTATTTGGCAGCCAGTGGAGCTGGTGCAACAGAGGAGTAGTATGCTCCCTGTACCCCGCTCCTGTTAGAAATCTGGCAGCCGCTCGTTGGACTAATTGCAGCTTCCGGGCAGTCTTCAGAGGCAACCCCATGTAGAGAGCGTTCCAGTAGTCTATACGGGATGTAACCAGAGCATGGACCACCGTGGCCAAGTCAGACTTCCCAAGGAACGTGCGCAGCTGGCGCACAAGTTTTAATTGTGCAAAAGCTCCCCTGACCACCGCCGAGACCTGGGGTTCCAGGCTCAAATATGGTTTTGTGTGGGGGAGCAGATGACGACTACTAGATGGCATATGTTCTGTATCAGAAACTAGAGCTGATGTGGTCTACCCAATGCAATTTTCTGAATCAGTACCCCAGATAACCAAACCAAATCTAAAGTTGACCAAAAACTGATTTGTAACCCTTTTGGTAGCAATGTTGGAGAGTGGTCCCTGGTCAAAGTGGTCCCTGGTCAAAAAAAGGTTGGGAACCACTGCTCTGCAGTATAGATGCACCTTGAGTCTCCTTTATCCAAAATGCTTGAGAGCAGAAGTGTTTAGGATTTCAGATCTGGAATATCGGCATGTACAGAATGCGATATCTTGGGGATAGCACCCAAGTCTAAACATGAACTTCATTTATGTTTATTACATACCTTATACACATAACCTGAAGATAATTTGATGCACAGTATTTTAATAGTTGTACATGAAACAAAATTTGTGTATATTTCACCATCAGGAAGCAGGGGGTCACTATTTCAGCCACCCATCATTTTGGAGCATCTTGAATTTCAAGTCTTCAGTTGTGTGCCTTCAAGTCACGTTTGACTTATTGTTTGACCTAAAGTAAAGGGCTTGCTTGGCAAGATTTTACCTGAAGAGGTTTCTATTGCTTTCCTCTGAAGCCAAGAGATTTTGACATGCCCAAGAGGGGTTCCTTGGCTGAACAAAGATTCAAACCTTGGCTCCCAGAGTTGTCATCTGATATTCAAGCCACATTGTCTCCTCAGACAAGGGATACTCAATTTGTATTATTATTTAATCAAGAGTGAACTTTTAAGTGATAGTGTTAGCTTTGAACAAAGGTCATTTAAACACAAGATAGGAGTGTGGCCGTGAAATAAAGAAGAGGGTGCCTCTGAGCATGTGTGGAGACATCATCACAGCCTGTCGGTAGGGTTAAAGTCCCGGCTTCCCAATCATAAGCTATGTGGTCTGTTTAAACTGAAACCCAAAGCTTCTCTTTATGGAAAGTAATCCATGAGCTATTTTGTTTCACCAGGGTATGTTTACCCCTGGGGCTGGAGAGCGAACGGGTGTTTCCAGTGTGTTCTTCTAATGCACTTGATCCTCCTGTGGCACAGCAAGCCAAGTGCCGACAAAATAGTTCCGGGCAGTGGGTAGTAACCATACCCACAAAATTCAACAAGTGGGAAATGGGAGATTTTCATATAAAATCCAATACAATACTGCATCTTTCCTGCAGTCTTGGTAAATGCATTATTTCAATCTGGATAACTGAAACTGGGAATATAGAAAAACTCTCATGTTGCTTTTGCATGTGTCCTGTCAGAACAAGGAGTGACTGTAGGGTCTCTGCATCTCCAGACTGTAGGCTCATAAGAGAGAAAATAGTCTAAAAGGATTTAAAAAAAGAAGTCAAGTGAAGACTAGCAGTGAAATAGAATCACGTTATAACAACTACTACAACATAGTCACATCAGCTGTTAGGGAGCTTCTCTTTTTATGGTCTCAACTAATCAAAGGAAAACTTGATCAGTGAAATATGAGAGTTGTAATTTTACAAAGTTCTCTGCAAGAGAGAGCTCATGCCTCACCAAACTACACTTCCCATGATTCCAAAGCATTCAGCTATGACAGTTACAGTGGGGTCAAACTGCACTAATTCTACAGTGTAGATACACCCAAAGTCTCCAAACCTAGGGGATTCTGGATGCCATAATCCAAAAACCTAGCTTTCCTGAGCTCTGCTTTTACTGCCATCTCATAGGTGTCTCAACTGTCTTGCTCAGACTTCGTGAGTGTACTATATTGAGTGTGGAATTTTTAAAATATGAGTGACAGTTCTAATCAAAAACAATGTCCCTCATAAATAAGCAATTATTAGTATGGCTCATGTCTTATTATAGTCAGATCAAACCTCTGCCCAGTATGTAATGGAAAAATAAACTACAGAGGGAGGCTGCTTCTATCCGTCATATGTTTTCCCATTTAAGGGATTTGCCAATGTACATTTTTGTCTTTGTGTGGAAGCTAGCTGTTTCTATCTCTTGATCCCGGAAATTAACTCCACTCCCACACCACATC